GGAATGTTCGGAAAGGTAGGAGGGCAGAGGGGTGGAGGGAGAGGATTGAGAGGGGAGGAGGAGGAAGCTTGTTACTTGAATGACAGCAGTGGGCTGTCAGTCATATGCATGATCTCATTTGATAAGTTCTGACAGTGTGTGTAGTGTGCAAAAACATCAACACACACATAACAGTCAGACATATTTTCCAAAAAGTATATGCAAAAGCAAACAGACATAATAAAAACAAATAATTGCACTTTAAAGTAAAATTACTCATTAATACACACAAAAACACTCAGATTCTTCCCTCACTACCCTCCATCGTTTTGAGTTCAGTTCAGCATCAACATGAGGCTCACTCCCTTCAGACTGTTCAACATCAATAGTTCTCTCCTGTGGCACAAAGAAACACCAATGTGCACTGAATGGGGCTAATATTAATCCAGTAGTTCTGCTCATTCACACCTTGAAACTACATCTGAAGTAGAAGAGGTCCCCTTCATGCATTTGTCCTGCACCTGTACTGCAGAGGTACTGCAGAGGCTGCTGCAGCACTACCATCTGCACTGATGTTGAAGTGACTGGATCTACTGTAGTGGAATCAAGTGGATTCATGACATGTGTTTTTTTTTTTTTTGATACAGATGATACAGCTCTTTGTGTTATGTAAACATACATTTTGAGTTTCATTTCAAAACACTGTCCTTTAGTGGGATTAAAATATCTGTAATTTTTCAGATGTATTAGGATACAGATAACATTGGTAATTATTTATTAATTAATTTTCTTACTGTCAACAAATCCCATTACAAAACAAAAGTTATTTGTTCAAATGACTTAAATTACATATGTTTACCTGACAAGCATGATGTGTTGTGATAATGTTATTAGCACCTCAGTAATTTTGCAGGGAGGAGCCTGGAATGGATCAGTCAGTGATTGGTGATTTATAAAATGATTACACTTTCATAAATCTTCTTTACACAGTGTGATTTTTGCTGCAACAAGTGCAGTAACAGTGTTTCATATTGCAAACAACTTTATCTGCAGACATTTTACCCAACAACTTCTTTATTATTCTGTATTAATTGTAACTTACTTTTCCTCACTCATATGTAAATATATTTGTCTCAATATATTTTTAGTTACTATTCATGTATGTCATAAATATATATAGTATTGTTTTTCAAGAAAAGGCTCTTGCTAGTTCCTGTCAGTACTCTGGCTGCAGCATCTTGGATTACTGGAGGCTTTTTAGGAACTCTTTGGGAGAGCGTGACTGTAAAGAATTACAGTAGTCCAACCTGGAAATGACAAATGCATGGGCCATTTTTTCAGCATCACTTTGAGACAGGATGTTCCTTTGCAAGTGAAAGAAGGCAGCTCTAGAGACTTGGTTTATGTGTGATTTAAAGGATATATCCTGGTCACAATTAGCTCTTGGTTCCTCACAGTAGTACTGGAGGCCATGGCTATACCAACTACAGTAACTAAAGAGAATGTGAAGGTATGTCACACTGTGTTGTATGTTGGGACAGGGGCACCATTTTGGAAGGAGGCGCTGTATTTTACATTATCTATTTACATTCTTCTTTTGTTAGACTAAAAGGTTTCTTAAATCATTTTGACTTCACTTTACTGACTGTGGTAATTCAGAATAGATAAGCTGCAACTAACTCATAGTGGACCTCGAGGTCCCATTGACAAGACCAACAAACTCAAAATGACTTCACACCCTGATCTCAGCTCCCAGCTTGGGAGCTAACACTAGCCAGCAGCTGTTAGCAAATAACACAGAACTTCCCTTGCTTAGCCCACTATTCCACTGCCATGCTGCTACTGAAACACCTACTAAAGGTAGAACTGTAAATATATTAATCTTTATGAAAATATTTATTTCAGCTTACATTAAGAACATTCTCATCACATATGTTGTAAACATCTGGCCCTGTATTGCACATTTCTTTGCATTCTTCTGCATTTTACAATACAGTAATATAATTTTATTGTCAAGCAGCCCCAATTTGACTTGTCAAATTTTAACTTTCACAAGTTAATCCATCAACAAGCAATTAATTTAAAGAAAACTACAATCTAAACTTTTTTTTGTAACTCATAAGGCCATCCAAGCCTTTATGTCTTTAAAGTAAGCTCATTAGTTAAAAAAAATGTTTGAACAAACGTACATACAAGTAAGCAAAACTGGTCAAGTGCGTGGAAACAGAAGTATATATACGTAGACATATGACTGGAAGAGTTATACGTTTGAGGTGTGGTTCTGCTCCTGAATAGTAATCTTCTATTTGTCGTAGCAGGACAGTATATGTGGGACTAAGTCAAAGTAAACTACAGTGTGTGTTCACGGTAATAAAATAACATGTCAGCCACTGCAACAGAGTAACATTTTGTAGGATGTACTGTATTTATTGTTAATTCTGGTTTTTGAATGGCTCTTTGATTTGTTGACAATAAGAAAAATACAAAATATATTCAGCCCAGTTCTTTAAAGTACTATCATGCACTCACTGGAACTTTCTTGTAGCATTTTAAAGTGTTAAATGTTTAAGTCTGTTGCTGGATGTCTTGTTTTGAAATGAAACTCTTCTGTGCACTTGTGTAATTGTATAAATTTTAGGTTTTTTTGAATCTGGTCTGGCAGAACAGACAGATCAGATGAGTGTCTTGCTGTTCTCAGTCTTCGCACCAGGCTTCTTCATTGTTCTGCTGTCTCATTCTCACTCTGTCACTGTCAATTTCACTGCTTAATTTTTTTCTCACTTTCGAAGCTGATTAGGTGTTCATGCTTTCTTTCTCTCCTCCACAAACTCAATTCCTTCTCATTTCTGCTTGCATGCTTGCTTTTTGCCTCTGCACATCTTTCCATTTTTCCTTTGCCCTATTCTCCTATTGCTTCCTCTTCCCATTTTTCCTTTTCTAATTCATCCTTATTTCCCTGCTTGCTCCATGCTCTGCACTGGGGTTTTTTCCACATCTTCCTTTCACTTCTTCTGTCCAAATTTTCTGCTACTTTCTTACATACTGACACCTTGATCTGCTAACTCTAACATTATTCTCTTGATTTTCAAGTATAATCCCCAACCTTTCACCTTTAACACCCTGTGCACTCCTCTACACACTGCCACATGCAGTGATTCATGCACACAAGCACAATGCAAAATACACGCCTACATACACAGATGGCTCAGGCTCCAGCAGTGTTACATTTTCCCTGGGAGAGGAATGGTTCAAGCCGGAGGGGCCTCTGCTACAGCAGAACCTCAACGTTCATTCCAGCTCCTCTTGGATCAAACCATAGAAACACTGAGGTAACACTTCCACACAGCACATGAAGCAGTGAAAGATACAGCCAATAACACAGCCTCAGTTCACCAGAAGTGGATTCACTTAGATTAGATCACTTAACTATCTTAGACGTGATTAGAGTAGAATCTGTTGGAAAATACTAAACTACATTAGATAAGATCAAACTAATTTGGGTTAATTAACCTATGTAAATTTGATCAGATGACATTAGCATAGTCTGCTATAGACAAAAATAGATCAGACTGCATTAGACTTGATTCAAGTAGACACTACTGGACTATTAGATTGGATCAAGCTTTGCTAGATTAGGGTAAACTGGGAAAACACTAGATTAGATTAAACTAGACAGATTACACTTGACTAGACCATACTTTATTAGATTATAACTTGAAATGAGAAATAATTAGACTATATAAATTAAAATACACTACACTAGATCACATATAGACTCAATGAGTGACTTTTTAAATCATTAAAACTCACACAGACACACACAGTCGTGTCTTACTATAGCTGTGAGGACACCCATTGACATAATGCATTCCCTAGCCCCTGATCCTAACCTTAACCATCACAACTAAATGCTTTTCACCAGCCCTTACCCCTAACCTAAAACTAATTCTAACCCAAACACCAAAGCCAAGTTCTAGCCCTCAAGCAACAAGTTGTGAGGACCTTGTCCAAATATCATCACAGTAATAGCATCAGAAAAAAGACTGGTCCATACAATGAAATAACGTCATGTATATACAAACAAACACACAAACACAGGCTACATGTATAGAGCTGCTTGTAGGTTGCTTGTTACTTTAAAGCTTTTAAATGTGGTTTAGCATCTTACAATGAATAACAGCAGCGTGCAGGTGGGGGGGTGGGGGGGTGCACATATGCATGGTCCGTGTGTGTTTGCTTTGATGTGATTATTGACTTGCCCATTTTATTTAGTTAAAGCATTCTTTTCAATTTGCAGTACTATTTTTCTTAATAGTTACTGTACATGCATTCATTTTCTATTACAAGTAGGTTAGTCCCCAAGCATTTATTATAGCACAATATATCCCTTATCAGAAATAATACAAATTATATAGTAACTATACAATATACTATATACAAAGAGACTGTTAAAGTTGTGTCTATATTCTGCATCAGAATATTTTTAAAAACACATTGTATATTTTTGTAGAGAAATTATCACTTTCTGTCATTATTTTCAAATAGTATGTTTTATAATACCTTGTCTATCCACAGGTGTATGAGTTACTGTACTTGCATATGGCAAAGGGGTGCTTTTTGCATCTAGTTACATTTTCCCAGCATTCAAAACAGTGCAATTCTATGATAAAATCAATTCATTGCATTTTTAAATGTTGCACACCAACTTTGGTGTAGTTTGACTAAAAGTTTTACAACTAACCAATAGCAAGCTGTCATAACATTGACCTCTGAGGGCACCTAAAGCCATAAGGGAATATTTACTAAGGTTTTTTTGGCACTAATCAGTGAAATTGTGTGTGCTCATATTTACTGAGGAGTTGCAGTGGGGTTTTACGCATGGCACTGCAGGAATTTGCACACTTGGTCTCATGCAATATGTAGTTTATGGCATTCCAGTTCAGGGATGCACAAATCAGGGAGGAGAGAATGGAAGTTTATACAAACACCCTTACCACCTGACTTATCACCTCTGTGTCAAAGGAAACTGTGGCTGAAATATGAGGTCAGGAGAAAACAGGTGTCAAATTTACAGCCATGCTGTCAGCTGTTATTCATGTCAGATGTCTTTGGAGTTAAGAACACGTTTGAGAAAGAAGAGGATGTTTGTAAATTGCATCATTTGCAAAAGGAGAATGTGAAGGACTTATACAGGTTTTCAGGTCAGGCCATGCTTCAGTTACTGAATGAAATAAAAGATTATTTGACTGCACAAGAGCTTTCAGGCAGCAGATCCTATGTGGAGGTGTATTCAAATTAACACAGCTGCGGCTGTGCTCATTTACATCATCAGTCTTGGTACATAAGCTGCTAAATTGAAAAACTGTGGTGCTGAAATATTTTTCACACCTGATGGGTATTTCAGTAGTAAATATCTCCCATAGATTTCAAAATGGAGGATGTTGTTGTAGTTTATTAGCTACAGTATGTCCACTTTGTCTGCTGTCAAAGTGCAAGCATGGAACAGCTCTCCAATCCCAATAACTTGATATTGGATGGCATAAAACAGGGGAACTAAAAGAGGAGAAGCTTAGTAAAGCAGAGAGAAAAGGGTTATTATTGTGCACTGGTGCATAATAGAAAACATGAAAATAAATTCGTAGGTAGTGTTTGTGTTCAAAGTTGTTTTTTCTTTGTATGATAATTTCTCTACAAAATATAAATTTGTATTATTCTGTGGTGTCACATCACATGCGTAGAAGTGTGACACAACTATGATGCCATAGTTATTCAACAGTGTTTGTTAACCTAACGCAGAGGAGACACTCAAATCCCTAGCAGTATCTACCTTAACTGAACACAATTTGTGTCTGTAAGCATGACTTTTTATTAAATGCATGCCTGTTTGTATTATTTATTGGCCTAGTTGTGTGTGTGTGTGTGTGTGTGTGTGTGAGAGAGAGCGAGAGAGAGAGAGAGAGAGAAAAGAGTTTATGTAACCACCGGGGAGAGCAGATCATGGGGTCAGAGTTGGTTGAAAGGTTAGAGTTCACAGTACAGGCCCATGTCTGAGGCGTGCTGTTGCTGTTGTTGTTGTGTTACTGTCTCCTTCCCCTTGTCAGGTCATGCATTTGTACATTGGTTCTTGTTGGTCTGTGTGTCACTATCCATCTGTTTGTTTGTCTGTCTCCATGTTTTTCTTTGTTCGTTTCTGTCTGTACGTCTGTCCTTTTCTGTGTCTGTCTGTATTTTTTTGTGTAGCAGTCTTTCCCTCCTCCTGCTCCTCCTCTTCCTCCTCTCATCCGGTCTCTTCTCACTCTGGTACTTACAGATAAGGGCGTAAACCAAACACTCACCATCACTTCTCCCCTGAAAGAACTTTCGCTCCAAAGTCAGCCTGGTTCCAAATGGGCCCAGACTGCTTTTGGGGAAATGGTGCCTAGTCTTTCGATTCTTTGCTTTATGTGTGGATAGAACTTTATGATGCAGCAGCTTTAGTTTGTAGATTCTACAGTGCTGCCAGGACTTACTGTCCTTATTGAAATCAGTCAAGAATGATTGGGAATCAAAACCAAAATGAAAGTTTTTTTTTTTTTTTTTACCAAAATACTGAGTTAGTTACTCACAAAAATACAACAGAGGTGTGTGAAATAGAATAAAGCAAAGGACTTGGGAGTGGGGATTTGTTTAAACATGTCTGTTTTGGAACGGGTGCCAGAGTGAAAGCGACTGCTGCACACTGGCTGGGTGGGACAAGGAGTTGGCAAGAGCTGGCTGCTGGTTGACTGGTTGGTTGGTTTCCTTTGTCTTCTGCTCTGGAAATGAGCTCAGATCAGTTTTTACAGCTCAGCCCACAGAGAGCATACTCTGGCCATTGTGCAATACTGTAGGTATGGCAAGATCACATCCTTAAATGAACAATTTTGTATTTGTATTTAATTTACCAAAAAGTGTTATGAAGCTCCCATTGAACTTTCAAAACTTCCAAACTCTGTCTCTTGTAGCTGAGTCTGACTCTCTGTCAGGCTGGGCTGGAACACTGACTGCTGAAGTGCTTCAAAGGTCTATGTTAGCTAAAAAGACTAATGTCTTTGTTTCAAGTACAACGACATAAAAGACCTAGCAGGTTCTTTGACAGACCAACAGATAGATGAGCAGACAGGGTAAAAGAAAGACATAAAACTAATTGTAAAAACATTCATTCAGGTAAGTATGAAAACAACTTCGAAGGACTGCCTAGCATAGTGGTGGCACTGTTTGCTGTCCTGTGATGGCCTCTTAGCTATTACTCTCTGCACTCTTAAAGCTTCAAATCAACTGGAGGAAAATGATTAGCTGACTATGTCTGGGGAAACTTGGTGCTTTATTTATCTTAAGTTATAATTTGCATCTGGTCAAGTTTATTGGAAAGATAAATCAAGCACACCACAATAATTCACAGTCACACATATTTCAAAGAGGTCACTAGACTTTTGCTTTAGAATTGCCACCAGGGCTCTCTTCCAATTACCTACAACATCCCTCTTTCCTTCCTCCCTGCCTCTTTTTTGCTGACATTATTACAGATTGTGCTGTACTTGCTTGGGATTAATTACAGATTTTAATGTCATGGCTGTCACTGTAATCCAACACTGCCAGACCTGTGGTTGTGATGGGCGGGAAGAACGAAAGACTTCAGCATTTTGGAGGCTTTCTTAAAGGGCAGCAATACATTATAATTCCCTTCTGTTCAAGTCTCTTCTTCACCTTCAGCCTCTATCCCTGGTTCTCATTTCTTTGTGAAAGTAAAAAGGCAGGGGTGAAAGCTACTACTTCTGTTTCAAAAATATTGACATACTGTAAGGCAAAAATGATAGCAGTAATAAAAATCCCTGTTAATGCAACATTTTACAACATCCACCTTTGCTTCACTCCTGCCAGAAGAATTCCTGGGGTCTGTGGCTTGGTTATGATTTTACTTTATGATATGCAATGTTTTGACCTTTTGATGATTCTGGATGAGCTGCACAAGTCACAGGCAGTCAAACACCTGTTAGCTTGTTTGACTATCTATCTATTTATCTATCTGTCTATCTATTTATCTATCTGTCTATCTATTCTATCTATCTATCTATCTATCTATCTATCTATGATTTGAACCAACTTAGTTATGTTTTAGTTTCTGTAATAAGATGCTGTGATCAGTGGTGTCAAAAGCAGCACTGAGCTCTAAGAGGACAAGTACAGAGACAAGTCCTTAGAAGGACTGGTGACTTTCACCAGTGCAGTTTCTTTACTATGATGGACTCTAAAACTGGACTGAAAGACTTCACACAAATCATTTTTTGTCCATGTTGGATATAATTTGTGTAGTTTATGTAGCAAGACAGAAAATAAAGGTTACAGTGGCTTACGGGCATGTAACTTCTCATCATATACTTTTTATTATCCATAGCCACAGTATTTCTCTAACCCTAAAAATGCTATGTAAGCGTCAAGGGCAGAGAAACACCAAGCAGATGTGAAAAAACAAGCAGTGACATAGTCCAGCTGTTGTGTCGTGTCACATCACCTTTGTCTGGGCCAGTCAGGTTGAAAAAGTGGCACTTGGAACACACAGCACAGACTACAGTCAATGGCCAGATAGCATATACGCCTACATGAGAGAAATAACTCCCCCTACCAGCAGGTGGCTGTGTCTGTATTCACCATTCAGAAAGGGAAAGAAGAAGAGGTAGACAATGGAAATAAACAAAGCAGCTATTGTCAACACAGCTGGTGTTTATAGCTGCTTCTAATCGAGAATATTGTATTAAGAAGTTTGCAAGTGGCATTGCTGTTCTCCGCCCTTTGTTTTTTGGCTGTGGAAGAAGAAAGAGGCTGCAGAGGTGAAAAACAAGGAGAAACTGTACTAAATGTGCAAATTCATGGATGCTACAGCAATAGGCTGAAGTGGCTTTTGCTGAAGCATTCTCTTCTCATGCATTGGTTCACTAAGCTTAACAGCTAATCAGAGTGGTCTCTCTCATCAAAGAGGCCCGACCTGCCCAACGCCGATGCAACATGCCGAATCAGCCAAAGAGCTGCTGAGAGGGCCCGACTAGTGCCAATGGAGCAGGACACGCTGGAAAGATGACAGAGGCCCGCCAATGACCCAACAGTAGCTGACAGCCAACTGTCGGCTTGGTGTGTCATGGCCCTTAGTTGTCGTGGTTGCCTAACCTT